GGGCTCCAAAATCACTGCAGATGGTGACTGCAGCCATGAAATTAAAAGACGCTTACTCCTTGGAAGGAAAGTTATGACCAACCTAGATAGCATATTTAAAAAGCAGAGACATTACTTTGCCAACAAATGTCCGTCTAGTCAAGGCTATGGTTTTTTCAGTAGTCATGTATGGATGTGAGAGTTGAACTGTGAAGAAAGCTGAGCGCCGAAGAATTGATGCTTTTGAACTGTGGTGTTGGAGAAGACTCTTGAGAGTCTTGGTGCTGCAGAAGACTGCAAGGAGATCCAACCAGTCCATCCTAAAGGAGATCAGTCCTGGGTGTTCATTGGAAGGACTGATACTGAAGCTGAAACTCCAGTACTTTGGCCACCTCATGCGAAGAGTTGACTCATTGGAAAAGACCCTGATGCTGGGAGGGATTGGGGGCAGGAGGAGAAGGGGATGACAGAGGATGAGAGGGCTGGATGGCATCACCGACTCGATGGGCATGAGTTTGAGTAGACTCCGGGAGTTGGTGATGGACAGGGAGGCCTGGCGTGCTGCGATTCATGGTGTCGCAGAGTCGGACACGACTGAGCGACTGAACTGACTGACTGACCTCTAAACTCTAACAAACCATGATTTTAAATGATGACAAAAATAAAAATAACCTTATTACAGTTGTATTAATTCGAGAGTGATAGTCAAATAGTTAACAACTGGCATTCCAGGGACAGAGGATCCTGACGGGCTACGGTCCATGGAGCTGCAAAGAGTTGAACACAATTGAATGACTAATACTAGCAACTGGCATGGCAGTGACACTGGGCAATGAGAACAAAGCTCAGCCCAGGCAGAGTGGATGATGGATGTAAAGAACAGCGCAGTCTAGCCTGTTCCTACAGCTCCACGGCAACTCTTTGTTGCTCATATAATTCACTCTTCTAATGTTGCTGTTTGTATTATATTTTTAGGTATTTTATTTTCATGTAATATAATTGTGAAGTTGATTTTATTGGCTTTGTAGTTGTTGTTTTTTTTTTTTGCAGGACTAATGGAGTTTTAATCCTTTAAAGTACTCAAGGGAGAGAAATAAGTTCTATGTCTCAAGGAGAATGATGGGTAAGAAAACGCCACTGGAGTCGTCCCATGCAGGACAGAGTTGAAGGCTTGGTGTAAAAGAGCCTTCTGATCTATAAATTCTATTAAGAGAATTTATGGTGATAAGAAAAAGAAATACATTTTTTCCCCAAAGGAAACTAGGAGATAGCAGCCTGGAGGAGGTTGCAATATAATTTTCAAAACATGACTTTTATTGAAATATACAATATGTCAAAGATTTATTTAATTATTAGTGAAGAAACAGGAGGATGGTGAAATTGATCCAAAGAGGATCTAGGAAGCTGATATATAGGATTGGTAAAAAAAAGAATGCTAGAATAAGATGGCAAAATTAGATACAAAACTGGTAGATGTCCTAAGAGTAAAACCATAATCTTTGAGATTATCATACTGACTAGGCAAAAATCATTATCAATTTTCTATGGTAATATTTAACTTCACAGAGTCTAGGCTCGAATCAACAGTAAATGGCAAACCAAACAAAATTACATTTCCTATATCATCAGGCTTGTTAGGCAGTCTTGTTCGAGATAATGCTCTAGGAGAATATTGAAAAGGCACACAGTACTTCCTGTTTTATTTGTTAAGTTTGGGGTACTTTTCTTTACAGTGATGTGCAGAGAGCGTGTGTTCTCAAATCTCCCCACTATCCTTACTAAAGGCATGTTTGTGTTGGTGGAAAATCCTTTCTCTCCAAAATGAGGTCTGAAAGTTGGGAGAAGACCTGAGAGGGTCACCATGAAAGTCTAGCATAATGACCTTAGATAGTTATACACCTTTAACAAGTTAGGTCACCTGGTTCTAGCATTTGCATTCCAGATACAACCTCTTATACTGTGTCACCAATGCCACAGGAAAATTGCAAGAATTAATACTATGAATACCCACATATCTTCTGCTTAGATTCACTAATTGTTAGCATTTTGTAAATTTGCTTTATCTCTTTCTCCAATTCCCACAAGTATATTTTCTGGAGCCATTTGAAAGTTAATTATACATATATATATATTTTTTTGACAAAATAAAGCGAAAGTTAATTATATTTATTATGAAATTTACTCCTAAATACTGTGACATGTAATCTTAAAATAGGAAGGTTTGGACTTCCTTGGTGGTCCAGTGGTTAAGAATCCACCTGCCAGTGCAAGGGACACAGGTTCAATCCCTAGTCTGGGAAGATCCCACAGCAGGCTGTGCACAGCCTCCTGAGCACATGTGCCCTGGAACATGTGCTCTTCACAAGAGAAGCCGCAGTAATGAGAAGCGGGCACACCACAACTAGAATAGTCCCCGTTTACACAAATAGAGAAAGCCTGTGTGCTACAGTGAAGACCCAGCACAGTCAAAAATAAATAAATGAATATTTAAAAAGAGAACTTTTAAAAAGCAGAGTGGATACTATGATGCTTTCCCTGGATTCCCCTTTAGGGATGAAGAACCTATTCCCCCCGCTATTTTGGGAGTGCCTCTGGCAGGTAGCCCTTAGCTGTTGGCCTTCCCTGGAAGTTGTCTTGGCTGGGAGGACCACGTAGCCCAAGGTCACAACCTTTCAGGCGCCATCTGCATCCCATGACTGATTGATGTAGAGGTTTAAAGGCCTGGACTCCTTCCTGACTGAGGACAACTTGGAAGGATCATTCCAGCTTCAGCTCCCCAAGCGGTCATGAGGCCGTAGCTGAAACTGCATTGCAACCCAAACTTCTCTCTGCTCATTTCTGCTTTGTTCTCTCTTCTGTTCTCTTACATAGGTATTGATTCCAAGAGCACTTCCCAATGAAATTCCTGCACATTAATCTGTTTCAGAGTCGGCTTCTCAGGAACCTCAACCAGAGAGGTGCCGGAAGTGGTTTGAGAGAGTCGAAACTAATATTATCAGTTTTAGTGACTTATTTCAAAATTTTATCATCATGGAAGTTAAAAAGTACTTTCTCATGTTAGACTTACAACTCTCTTGTTTCAAAGGTCTCCAAGATGTATTGCTTGAAAAAACTAAGAGGCAGAATATTGTATATCATGAGCTTCCATTTGTGAAAAAAAGAAAAAAGAATACATTTACATATAAGCTTCTATGTGCATAGAATATCTTTGTAAGGAAATACAAAAAATTTGCAGTAGAGGTTGCTTTGAAACAGAAGATCAGGGGTCTAGGGGAAGGGGACTGACTTACTTTAAGCCTTGTCATATTATTCTAACTATCATGCACTGCATGACCTTTTTTTAAAATTTTTTATTTCAGTATTATAATCAACAGGCAGACTTTGCTATACATGCTGTTTCCCACAGGAAAGGCAAAAGTTATTAACTGTATGATGATAGGAGTAGGGCTACAGGACCCTCTAAAGAGAGCTGGACCAGTGTTTGCCAAAAAAAATAATAATAAGCTGTCCTTTTTTTTCTTTTCTGTTCTTGGGAACAAGAAGGACAAACTTTTTTTTTTCTCCCAAATAAAGAATGGCAACTTTTTCACTATTAAAACAAATACAAATGGTGGCCCATCTCCATTTGCTTATTTGTTCTGAGAGAATTGAATGATAACAAAAGACCACAAAATACATCACTTTTACAGTGATGGCCACTACCATGAGGCTTAAAAACTGACTGTCATTGATCCTCTAGCTATTTAGACAAAATATTCCCCTTCTCTGTGCATTAGTTTGTTCATCTAGAAAACAGGTATGGAATAAGAGTGGCCTTAAAGGACTATTGCAAGCTTTCACCTTCCTACATAGGATGGACTGAAGTCTGAAACAGAGCAGCGGCACATGATACAGATAAATGGCATCTATTCTTCTGTATTTCTTACCTCCATCAAATTACAACTGAAGAACTATTCAAAGTCATGGTTTGTGACTTTTAGAAGTCTATGTTCCACGGTGTGGCCACTGCCAAAATTTAACACTAGGTTTGAAGGAAGCAACAGCTACAGTCTCATGTAGCCTATGGAGATAAGCATTCCACCTTAAGAAGTCAGGATAGTGTTCAGGGATTTTCCTCCACCAAGATTTTGGATCCAATGAAAATGTATCGGAGGACTGTCAGGATGACAGAAGTGAAGAATCCAGTGGACGTTGTTCTGAGTACTCTGATGAGTTTAATTGCACTGATGGCTTCAGCAGGATCGCGAAGTGATGGATGTGGTTCGATCACTCCGTGGCGGGCCGGCTCACTTGGAGCTGGTGTACTTGGTGACGGCCTTGGTGCCCTCGGACACCGCGTGTTTGGCCAGCTCCCCGGGCAGCAGCAGGCGCACGGCCGTCTGGATCTCCCTGGGTGTGATGGTCGAGCGCTTGTAATGCGCCAGGCGCGACGCCTCGCCAGCGATGCACTCGAAGATGTCGTTCACGAATGAATTCATGATGCCCATGGCCTTGGACGAGATGCCGGTGTCCGGGTGGACCTGCTTCAGCACCTTGTACACGTACACAGAATAGCTCTCCTTGCGGCTGCGCTTGCGCTTCTTGCCGTCCTTCGTCTGCGCCTTGGTCACCACCTTCTTGGAGCCCTTCTTCGGGGCCGGAGCGGATTTAGAGGGTTCAGGCATGGCCGGGAGTTTATTGCCAAACAGCCCAAAAACCACAGAAGAAAGAAGCTGTCTGCATGACCTTTTTTTAAAGGCTGGAAACAAAACAAAAAAAAGAAAGACAAAATGGTAATGGTCACTAATTCTGACTGATAGGAATGAATATGGGTTTCGTTGTAATGGTTGTCATTTTCTGTAGTTTTAAAAATTAACATTTCTAACACCCAAAACTCATCTGTTTAAATTGATTTCTCCTTGTGGATATAGAGACCATTCTACTTATTGAAACATTTCATTTATTTGAACATGTTCTGTGAATGAATGAATGAGTGTTCATCTTCATCAATTATTATACAAAGAGGGAAATACGCTATCATCTGATACAGGGCTATTGAAATTGGGCCCTGTGCCAGGGACACAAATGTGAGATGTCACAAAACATTTGTTAAAGCCAGCTGAATCCTCTCCCTTCTGCTTCCAGTTTGCACAAGTGTGCACGAGGCAGAGCTTGATGAACTTCTCCACTGATGAGAAGGCTGGACATTAAACCACGGAAAAGGGAAGAGCTAGCACTGCTTTGCAATCAGTACGTATTTTTGACTCACTGATGACTACTTGGATGCTATCAATGGATTCTAGTCTCTGGGCGGGGTCTTTTGTCTCTTGGGATGAATCATGAATTAGTTAAGGTCACAGTGGTGCTGCTTTGCTTGAAGCAGCTCCTGAGGACTAATACATTTCTGAAAATGGGAAAAAGGCCAACTTCATGTCTTTCTGAATGAGGGATGAAAGAGACGACTTTGAAAAGTATTAGGCCTGAGGCAATATCCTGAAAAGTAGTGCAATAAATCAGCCAAATATCACTTTGGAAGCACTGAGAAGTGAACAAAGCATAAGGTATGGTTTTATAATAAATGATCCTTGTCCGACTCATCTAATTTCCTTTTAGGCAGAGGGATAAGCCTGGCTGAAGGTAAAGAAACAATAAATTAAACAATTTTTTAACCTAAGAAAAATTTTCATTTTAACAAATTAAAATGAGAAAAACATATTCTAGGCAGATATACTGGTAGAAGGATTAAACTCTAAGAATCATCGTTGTCAACCTTACAACAAATGTGTTTTAAAGGAATTTCAAAGGGATTATGTAGATACTGGCTCTACATTCCTTTTAAGCAAGACATGTTTATTGAACACTTAATGTTTTCCAGGCTCTATTCTAGATGCTGAGGACATAATATTGAATAAAACAGACTAAAATTCTTGCCTCTGTGAAACTTACATCCGAGGGGGAAGAGAATATATACATATGCTTTGTTAGATAATTTTAAGAGGTTAAAAAAAAAAGTAGTGATAGAGGATAGGAAGTATGGGGGAAAAAATCTCACAATTTTAGATAGAATGGCTATTGGAAGGCCTTATGAAAAGATGATGTTTGTGTAAAGATTTGAATAAGGTGAAAGAGTCATGCAGATACTTAGGTAAGAGCACTTTAGATGTGAAAACGGCATGCACAAAGGTCCTGAGGCAGGAGCATACTTGGTGCTCTGCATTGAGGCTGCAGCAGAGTGAATAGGAATTGAGGTCAGAGAGGTAGCCGAGGCCAGATCAGGATGCTTTATTGACTTTAAACCCCAACCTTTGAAGGGGAAAGGACCCTCTCCTCACCTCCTGGTCAATGAGGGAGCAGGTAGACTGGACAATTGATTTTTCTTACTCAGGACTTGGAGCCATCAGAAAGCCTCTGGCACAGGTGTGGTTGCAGGGAGACCTCGTGGCAGCCGTGTTCACTGTGTGGTATGTGCAGCGCCAGCAGTAGTGTCTCACCTGGAGCGTCAGGGTGGGGTCTTCCACCCAGCCGTCCTTCGGTTCTAACCATGTTCTGTGTCTAGTTCTCCAACCTTCCTATTGTCTGTAAACTAACTGGTAAACCAATGAAAACTCCCATCTGGTGGCTCAGCAGTAAAGAATCCGCCTGCCAATACAGGAGGCGTACGTTCGATCCCTGGGTTGGGAAGATCCCCTGGAGAAGTAAATGGAAACCCACTCCAATATTGTTGGCTGGAGAATTCCACGGACAGAGGTGCCTTGTGGGCCATAGTCCGTGGGGTTGCAAAAGAGCTGGACACGACTTAGTGACTAACAAAGCTAGCCAGAATTGCTTCCTTCGAACTAACGGAGCTATTAGTAAAAATACTGATGGATATTCATGAAACTCAGGATTATTGTTCAAGTCGTTCTTTATAGCTCAGATACTGTTAGTAAAAAGCAGACAGACACACAGAGAGAAAACTAATACTTGATTCATTACTACTGACTATAACTGTCGTTTCTGGTGGATTACCAGCTAACATAAAATAGGTCTGTACAGTACTTCATGTTCCAAAGATGGCTGTAATGACATCTTCCCTCCCACATGCTCTTTTGCATTGTGAATTTGCTATTTCCCCAACAAGAAGTGAGTGGCATATGTTTCCTCTCTCTTTGAATCTGTGCTGCCTCTGAGATGTCTTTTGACCAATAAAATGTGACAGAAGTGATATGTAATTTTCAAGGCTGGTCTTCCCTCTTGGAAGCCAGCTGCCACGTAAGAAAGCCTCTGTTCTGCTGGAGGGAGACCAGTGGAGAGAAGCCTGAAGACACCTTGACCACTCCAGCCCCGACCAAACTGCCAGCTGAACATAACCTCATGAGTGAGCCAGACAATATTGTATGAAGCAGGACCACCAGCTGAGCCCAGCCCAAATTCCTGATCCACAGAATCCTGAGCAAATAAAAAGGCTGTTATTTTAAGTCTCTATATCATGGGGCTGTTTATTAGACAGCAATAGATAACTGAAATGTATAAATATTGACACAATACAAAAACCTTAATCACTTAATTGCATGAGTTTTCAGGCAGGAGATTTTAAAAAATAGGTGTGTGTGTGTGTGTGTGTGTGTGTGTGTGTGTGTGTGTGTATTGGGGGAAAATCAAAGAGATGTCTGGGAAAATTGAAGGAGGAGAAAGAAAAAAAGGAAAATAGTTAACAGAAGGGCTCACTTTTTTTTCCTCAGTATCATATTTGAACTTGAGAATTGGAAATCAGTTTACTAAACTGACCTGTGTTCAACTATTGGTCATAAAAAAAGCATTTATCTACCACCCCACCCTTCAGTGGAGAAATTGGTACAGGCCATGATTTCACTGGTTTTGCTCGCTGATGCATCCCCAGATGACTGGAACAGGAACTCATAAGTGCTCAGTGAAGACTTGTGGCAGGAAATAAACACACACAAAAACCATAATATAATTAAAAAATTTTACCTACTAAATATCAGAAGTGAAATAGAGTAGTTCATCTAATATAGGGTTTCCAACCTGATAAGATGGGAAGAGGTGGAATTGGTTAACTGGAGAGAGTTCCAAAAACCTATGAAAGAGATAAAATACCATTACCAGAGACTTCAAAGGGTCAGGAAGGCTAATGGTCAAAATAAAAGCAAGCTTTGTGAAAACTATTCATAAAAAGCCTTTAAGCCTGTGTTTTTTAGCAACAGTTCTCTCTGATTTAGACCTCTAATTTTATCTTCACCTTTTTCTTTTGTCAGAAAATAAAAGGTGAAGGTAAAATTTTTCTTTTGTCTTTTTTTTCTCAGAAAAAAAGGCTTTCACTTTGGAAAGTATAAAATATACATGTAAAGAGATACAGGAAGAGACTTCCCTGGTGGCCCAGTAGTTGAGAATCTGTCTTCCAATGCAGGGGATGCAGGTTCAATATTTGGTCGGGAAACTAAGATCACATGTGCTATGGGGCAACTAAGCCTGTGTGCTGCAACTACTGAGCCTGTTTGCCCCAGAACCCAAACCATGCAACGAAGACTCACGGCAGCCAAAAATAAACAAATAAATTAATTAATAAAAGAGATACAGGAGATGGACCATGTACTGTTTTAGAGGAGTTTAGGTATCTCGGCCCCAAAGCAAGGTTTAGCAGAGTGTGGCATGGCCCCACGGAGTGTTCTCAGTTGATTCTAGTCAGAGGGCCTAGAGGCCCAGCCTTCCTGAAGGGAAACGTGTCTCATCTTGAGGTTAGGTCTAAGGCCAGATACTATTTAGACTGAACAGCTTCATAAGATCCACCGTCCTCCTCTTTGAGGAAAGGAGCTCCTACAAGCCGTTGGTAAGTTCTAGTAATAGTCTATTGGCCCCTTCCAGCCCATCACTGCCCTCTAGTAGATGTAGCATGTACCATGCCCAAAGGCTTGCCTCACTAATCAACCCTGCCAGGGGGCAGCTGGACAGAATTCCTTGTGGCCAAGTAGGACAGCAGTCTGTACAGCAGCAGGATAAACATACAGAATCCCACACATCTATCCTGTCCTGAGGAGCAGACGAGGAACCCACAACTGTCCTCTCAGCCTCTGGAATGAGCATGGTCTTGAAGCAGAGGGCAGAGTGCACTCTTGAAGCAGCGTGCCTTCCTTCAAAGGCTCATGGTGCCCTGGATGTGGATGGACAAGCTCAGTCCTTCCCTTTCTTGTAACTTCTGCTGAATACAGAACATTAATATTCCAAGTCCCATCACTTTATGGCAAAGAGATGGGGAAACAATGGAAAGAGTGACAGACTTTATTTTCTTGGGCTCCAAAATCACTACAGATGGTGACTACAGCCATGAAATTAAAAGACACTCGCATCTTGAAGGAAAAGCTATGACAAAACTGGACAGCGTATCAAAAAGCAGAGACAATACTTTGCTGACAAAAGTCCATATAGTCAAAGCTATAGTTTTTCCAGTAGTCATGTATAGTTGTGAGAGTTGGATCATAAAGAAGGCTGGACACCAAAGAATTGATGCTTTTGAACTGTGGTGCTGGAGAAGACTCTTGAGAGTCCCTTTGACTGCAAGAAGATCAAACCAGTCCATGCTAAAGGAAACCAACCCTGAATATTCATTGGAAGGACTGATGCTGAAGCGCCAATACTTTGGTCATCTGATGTGAGGACCCAACTCATTAGAAAAGACCTTGATGCTGGGAAAGATTGAAGGTAGGAGGAGAAAGGGAAGACAGAGGACAAGATGATTGGATGGCTTCACCGACTCAAAGGACATGAGTTTGAGGAAGCTCCAGGAGATGGTGAAGGACAGGAAAGCCTGGCTGCTGCATCCATTGGGTCTCAAAGAGTCGAACATGACTGAGTGACTGAACAACACATATTAAAATATTACTGATCATCAAATCACTAAAACAATTGAGATTTTTTCCCAAGGGGAATCCTGAATGCTTCTTTGTCCAAATGACCTTGGCAGAAATTGCAAAGTTTACACATCCACCCGCCTGCTCCATTGAAATGAACTCATACTCTGCTAGATCGTCCAACATTCTATGGATAAATGCCCAGAAATGAACTCATAAAGTTAAATAACTTTTTCAGATCATTGATTTGTGGTCTAACCTTAATTTATCCTTTAGCAAATGTCATGTATTGATTGGTCAACAGATTAAAAGCTTCTGAAATAAAGAATAAAGTCAAAATGTTAAAAAAAATTATATATCGAATCATATAGCATCATATCAAGATTGGATATGCATCATTATCATAGAAAATAAACATGGCTACCAAAGGGAAAGTGGGGGGGGATAAATTGGGAGTATGGGATTAAGAGATGCACACTACTATAAATAAAATACATTAACAAAGACTTACTATATAACACAGGGAACTATATTCAATATATTGTAATAAACTATAATGGAAAAAATTTTAAAAATATATAAATATATACACAGATATAATTGAATCCCTTTGCTGTGTACCTAAAACTAACACAACATTGTAAATCAACTGTATTTCAATTAAAAAATAAATTAAAAAAGTAAAGGGGCTGCCTTGGCAGCTCAGTGGTGAAGAATCTGCCAGTCAGCGCAGGAGACTCGGGTTTGATCCCTGACCCGGGAGGATCCCACATGCCTCAAGGCAACTAAGCCCATATGACACAACTCCTGAGCCTCAACTAGAGAGTAGTTCCCACTCCCTGCAACTAGAGAAAGCCCGCACAGCAACAAAGTCCCAGCACAGTAAAAAAAAAAAAAAAAAAAATTTAAAATGTGCATCACTATAGGCATTACTTACAATGAAAGATTAGAAACAATTCAAATGTTTATCAATAAAGGTTTAGTTAAGTAAATTCACACATTGGAATTCTGTGCAGCTATACAAAAGATCAAGGAAGCTAGTTATGAACAGGTAAGGAAAGTTTTCTAAAACATATTAAGTTAGAAAAAACCCCACAGTTCAAAAAATTGTCTCATGCTTTGGTAAAGAAGAGAGAAATATACGAATGTATATTTGAAATTTGTATGTGCACTAAACAACTCTGGAACTAAGTATATGTAAGAAATTAAGAAGAGTGGTTACATATGGAGGGTATGAACTGAGTTCATGGAAACATGGGGTGGGTGAGGGGAGAAATTTCACTATATATATAACTGTATACATTTTGGTTTTGACCAATAAGAATGCATTACCTATTCAGAAATCTAAATTTAAAAAAATTACCTAGAAGTGTGTAAGAGCAAAACCTGGAGTAACTCAGGTCCTATTCATTGGGAATTTGCAGTGAGTTGAACAAGTTAAAGGGCTTCCCAGGTGGTACAGTGGTAAAGAATATGCCTGCCAATGCAGGAGACACAGGAGACATGGGTTGATCCCTGGGTTGGGAAGATCCTCTGGAGGAGGAAATGGCAACCCGCTCTAGCATTCTTGCCTGGAAAATTCCATGGACAGAGAAGCCTGGTGGTCTACAGTCCATGGGGTTGCAAAGAGTCAGACACGTTAGAGACAAGGATGGTGAGCTATGTCTTCATTCTACGAGGAGGAGGGAAGTGCCAAAATGCTGTAAGAGAAACAGACTCTTCTCCCAAGTCTCCAGCTCTTGTAGAAGGTGAGTGGGGAGAGAAGAGGAAAGTGGTCCCAGCTTTATCTAGGCCTCCTGCAGGAAGTCCAGTTCACATACAGGCTTTTAACAAAAGTGTAAAGCCACTGGAGACATGCATTCAGCAAACTTTTAAAGTGCCTACTATGAGCTTACAGACATTAATAACAGTCAACTCCAGTCCTTGAAAGAATCGTGATCCAGGAGTCAGGGGACAGGAAAACAAAGCGGTGTGGGGTAGGCGGACGGGAGTGTCTTCCAGCTAGGAAGGAATGTGTGTGTGAAGATGCGGAGGGGTGGAGGTGTAGGTGTCAGGATTCCCTCAGCAGGAGAGAGGTGAGCTGAGTTTTAAAGGACTACCTGGCACAAAGTGAAGAGGAAGACAGGAGGGGATTCAGAGAGAAGGCTCGGGGCATGAGGGAGTAGGGGGAAGGGGGCAGGAAATGGCATCGATAACACTGGAGAGAAGAGATTAGATAATGAAGGGCCTTCAAGGCTGGGCTAGGGTTTCAATTCTGGCAGAAAGGCTAAGGGAACTGACATACTAGGTTTGGGTTGGGTTGTGGAGAGGGTTCTGCTATACTGAAGAGGGAGATGGAATCCTTTGCCTGTGAATTACTGCTTGTGATTGTTATTGTCCTAAAATATACCATTGCCTTACTAGGTTCTGGTGATGTGTACAGTATTTGTTACTGTCATCTTTGAGAGTTAAAACAAAATAATATTGTTTCAGTTGGAGTGCTAACAGGAAACAGATGGCACAATCAAAGGAGGATGATTCTAGGAGGGTTTGTTTACAGATGGGCAACATACAGGTGTGGGTGCGGGTAGGTGTATGCAAAGGATGCTACCGTGACCCGGGTCTCATAGCAGCCGGGCCGACAACACATGCTTAGGCCTGTTATGGACTAAGCACTTGTGATCCCCCCACTCTCCACTCCCCTAGGCAGCCCGTAACCCCCAATGTGATGGCATCAAGAGATGGGGCTTTGGGAGGTAATTAGGTTTCGATGAGGTTATGCACGTAGGGGCCTCACGGTGGGATTACTACTCTTATGAGAAGGGACCAGAGCTCTCTCCCTCTCCCTCTCTCTCCCCCACCACCATGTGAGGACAGGGCAAGAAGGCAGCTGTCTGCAAGCCAGGAAGTAGGCTTCCACCAGAAGTTGACCATGCTGGCACCCTGATCTCAGACTTCCCAGTTTCCAGACTGTGAGAAACAAATGTCTGTTTTTGAAGCCACCCAGTCCATGGTATTTCCTTATGGCAGCCGAAGCTGACTAAGCTGAGCTGACTAATGCAAAGCCCACGTGGACAAGATCAGGGAGCCGCTGCTTGAATCCGGAAGTGTGAGATAGTCATGGGAAACAGTCAGATTGGGAGTAGCAGAGAAGTTCGGTCAGGACCTCACAGGGAGCAAACCAGGGCAAGACCTCCCT